TCAAGCAGCTTTGGAAAAGTGATTTTTTTCTGAAGCATTAAAATTGTTAAGAATAACACATGAAATTCTAATGAAGACTTTTTGCACTGTTTTCTCTCAAGCAATTCTGAGTGAATGGTTTTCATAAATTATTTGTTTTCCAAAGGTAAAACTCGGGCTCTAGGAATTTGACCAATTAATCACATGCTATGATAGATGAGAGGATTGACCACACTCCACTAGGTGAAAAAATAAATGCTTCTGCATTCCTGGTAACAATTTATGGTGGTTATGTTAGGCACTTAAAAATGTTCTGGTTTTAATTCATTTTTTTATGTTCATGGCATAAATACAGAGTTTTTTTTAAAGACCTGGCCCTCATTGAAATGTAATCAGTCTGACTGGGTGTTTATGGATCTTTGATTTACCTGTCCTCTGTCAAAACTCTGGAGGTGCTAATGGAGAAGCATCTTTGCCAATTATTTAAGGTATTTTTCAGGGAAGAGCAGCAAAATTGGAGAAAGGAATAGTGTTCCTCTCCATGAACAGTTTTCCAGCTTCTTTGGTAATCATGACACTGTGCTTTCTTTTACTACAACATGGTAAGATTTCTGTTTAAAGAGGCACCTTTTCGTAGTACAAAGTGCTTCTAGTGCCAGCTTCAAGTGGAACACCACACACCGTGGTAAATCATTTTGGCAGCTGTGTTCTCCAGAAAATACCCTGTAGGGGGCCAGGGAGAGGCAGGGAGCGGTAGAATAGAACATGAATCCTCATCTGAGGCAGGAAGAGTCCTGCAGAGCAGACCAAGGAAAGATATGGCTTCACCTAGCAGAGAGGTGTGGGTAGCTGTAGGTACCAGGAGCCAATATCCCTTGTCAGGACAAGCTAGGAGACAGGAATTCTGGTATGAAGCTGAGAAGCTCTGGCATAGCTTCTTGTCCCCTTGCTGCACCAGAAAGCTTTTTTAATGTACCCCCAAGGTGGTATTACTATCCCTGCACTAGCAAGAATCTCTTCTGTAAACCCCACCAAAAACCATTACAACTTGTCTTGTGCTACTGCCCTGCATGTATTTTACAACTGTCTTGAAGCACATTTTGACCAAAATAAATGTTTTGGAATAACCATTTTATCCACCCGTGTGGATTTTGCACCATAGAAGGTGTCACCAATGCTGCCTTCAGAACACTTGAGAGAGTTGTTTATGGTTGGAAGGAATAATTTACTACCCAGTTAAACTTAATTTTTTCCTCACTGAATGTTAGTACTGCTCAAGATATGTGTGTTTTATTTTTTGTGTCTAATACGTTATGGGTTATATTAGACTGAATTTTCTGGTAAAAAATTAAAGTCGGATAATTCCACTTTGTGACTGTTCTCCCTCCAGCTTCTCTCATGAAACTGCTGTCAGAAGCTGAACTGTATTTATGTATCCCTTATAGGCCACAGCATGTTGGCTCTACAGCAAATAATCACTGTCTGGCGGACTTTATTGAGCATCCATGTCAATTCATACCACAAAATATGCTTTTCATGTACTACAAAATCTTTTTAAGGCATCTGAGGCTGGAGTATTGTCTCAGTACAACAGTACTTGAGATAAACCCTTAAGAGAACATCCTCCTGACATGAGGAAATAAACTTCTTGATACTTTCTGTCTGAAAGTCTCTTGAATCATTGGAAGTGAGTTCCCAGAAGGGAAAAGAGAATCAAGTCGTAAGATCCTGCTAAAATATCAAAAATACTGCCCTCCCAATGAAATTCTTTGTGGCAGTCACATTTACTTGGAAATTTATCACTTTATTTACCAACATAACCCCAAAACCCCCAACTCCCAACTCCAGTAAAATAAAGGGAAATGTTTTACAACTTTCAAGACTACTTTGATTATCTAGCTCCAGAAAACATTGCCTTGCTAAATTAATTACCTCCAGGATTCATAGCTTGCACATTTTTGTTAATATTCATTAGAAATGAGACACCACTGGAGTGTACAGATAGTGCTTGAATATAAAGAACAGTTGCTCTCCTTCCATAACCCAGGACAGTGGTTTGGTGCCAGTTGTTCATGTACCTTACTTCTGTCACAAGAATGTGACAGATATGTAAATGGGAAAATGACTTTATTATCTGTATTAAAGGATGAATCAAAATCTTCCATAGAAATATGGAGTAAGAATGTTGTACTGACATTTTCCAGTGCCTCCAGCAAACAGATTGGATGGGGTTTAGCTGCATACATTTTCCTTACCCCTGCTTATGTGAGGGTGAACAGACTGCACTTGAATATTTAGACCTCACCTTTCCTGAAAACTTCATTCATAGTGATTATATGTTCTGCTTCACTGGCAGCTTGTGGTAGGGCAATTCATTAAGACTAATTGAATTCTAAAGGAAGGGAAAATTAGCCTTTGGATGTGACTGTGAATTATTGAGAGATACCGTAATGTACACACAGTTTTCAGAGTCTGTAACAAAGAACATACTGAATCATAAAGCAACAAAGGTAATTTCACATTTGAAATACTGGAGTGAAAAAGCAGCGTGGGATTAAAAACAGTGCCTTTTGCTTCCTCATTAGCAATCATGATTGTTTAATCGATAGCAGTCAGGAGAAGTGACACAAAAACCTGCATCGCTGCTGAAGCAGACAGGATATTGACATTTAAACAAATGCCTTAAACATACTGTGCTTACACTTCTGGTTTTAATATTAAAAGCTAGTGGGGGAGCTTGTCTTGTCTTATTTTATCATTATTAATCTTGCATGCACAGCAAACTTCATGCTGTTATTTTCTTTTGTTATTTTCCACAAGAAAGATAATCACAAACCTCTCAAATCATCCTTTTCTTTTAAGAGTTTGATTGAAACCTCTGTAAGATTTGGAGCTTTCAAGATATTTCCATTGATCTCAGCTGCTATGAGCATGGATAATAGCCAGAATAAAGCAAAGCAAAAAACCTCTCAGGATTTCTTCATTCTAATACTCCATGTCTGAAATTTTTCAGCAAATTTTCACTGCTGGTGAACCATGTGTCTGCACTGATTTTTGGGGTATTGGAAGAGTTAAACTCAGTAGGACTAATGACATCTCAGAATTATATGATGTATAGTTATGAAGAATTTCCAGGGCAGTCAGCGAACAATTTAATTTGGAAATTACCAGTGTTGTATTTTGTGATTCTCTGTGAAATGTGAAATATGGAGGATGCATTTTTGTACTGAGGTTAATACGTTAATTTTTTTGTCCTTTCTTTTTGCATAAGAATTTTGATTCTATGACAGATTTTTATGCTATATTAAGATTCTGGAATGTTCAAATGTCCTTCATGAAGCACATACTGACAAGAAATTATGTTCTAACTATTTAATCTCTCCTAAAGACATTTGAATAGGTATCATACATTCATTACAGGGAGTTTTTTTTGGGTTTGATGCTCTGGAACCATGTAATTCATTGAACATTTTTTCAATTTTTTGAATTATTTGGGATATTTTGGTTTTTACTTTTAACATCAATTGCATTAAATCTGACTTTGACCAACTTGTCATAACCACTTAGAATTGAAAGTGCACTTCTTGTTAATTTATGTGAGCAAACAGAATGGAAATACTTTTGAATCCCTATTTATAAAATTGCCATGTTCAACAGACTCCAGATGTTAGTTGAGCACTAAAAGAACAGTTCAACGGAAGGAAAACAAAATTAAATACTTCTAGGATTAGCTTTGTCTATCTCATTTAGCCTTTTGTCACCACACAGTTTTTAGTTCTCCTGTGAAGGCGAATTCCATCATCCCTTCCTGGGCTATGAGCTGAGGGAGGAGGTCTGACCATGTGCTCTGAGTCAGTGTGCCCAGTTAATCTGTTGTGAAGTTTGCAGAGAGTTATCAGCTCTCACATTGTAATTCACTCATCCTTTTAGGATATGGGGTATGAATAGGGCCGAGCTGAAGTCTAGAAAAGAGGAGTGTTTTGTGATGCTCCCTCATTCGGTGTTAACACCCAACTAGCTATAAAAATATCTCACATATTGGCAAGGCAAAATGGTCTTAGCCACAGGATATTTACTTAATTTCTTGCCAATTAACACAAGCTTCTAATGACCAATTTGGGTATTGGGGATGAAAAACAAAGATAAACAACCAAGCCCTGAAGCAAATCCAAGCAATTAATTCCCTCCTCTCCCTGAGCCAGCCAAAGTTGGAACTAGACCTGATCATTCCCCAGCCCTTCCTGTCCTGCTGGGGCTCAAGCCCACATTCCCTGCCTGCCCCACACCTCACCAAGCAAGCCAGGAGAAAGAATGGCTTTGGTGCCTTTTGGAAACTCTGCTGTCAGGGACTCAAGTCCCCCAGCCAAATCCACAGAGTGGTCAAGCCTATCAAGGCACACAGGGCAAAGCAGTCACCATGCACAGTTAATCACAGAAGTCTCTGTGGTTGGCACCTGATAAATATTCATGGCCAAGTGCTTCTGCCATCATCACATATTTTAAAATAAAGACCTCTGTGTGAAATTGAAACCTAATGTTTCATCTAACTTGTTCGCAGTGCAGAAAAAAGAGATTTTTACCTATTAAAATGATGGATTACCTCTCCTTAAAGGATTATTATAATTAGTTGAATAAACATCTAGAAAGTAATGATCTGTAAAGAGACTACTATCCCATTTTCACATCCAGCAATGAATGCAATAGAAGTCATTGATGTGCTGGTTTACCAACCAAAATGATGGTTGTACATGACATCCTTACTGACACAAAATGCAATGAACTTCTTATGGTTTGAAGATGCTTCTTTGTAAATTTGTGACAAATCAGTCCAAACCATTATGAATTAAAAATTAGTTCATTTTAAGCTCTTTAAACACTTTTAAGGTGTTGTCTGTGCTTCAGTATGAGTACTTTGAATATGTTTTTCTGACTGCATCAAAGTAATAGAATCTGCTCTTGTGAGACCCCAGATGGAGCACTGTGCCCAGCTCTGTGACCCCCATCATTAGAAGGACACAGACCTGTTGAAGCAAATCCAGAGGAGGGTCACAAAGATGCTGAGGGGGTTGGAGCACGTTCCCTGTGAAGACAGGATGAGGGAGCTGGGAATCTTCAGCCTGGAGAGGAGAAGGTTTGAGGGAGAACTTATAGAAGCCTTTCAGTATATGAAGGGAGCCTACAAGAGAGCTGGAGAGTGAATGCCCTTTTAAAAGGGCATGTAGAAATAGGACAAAGGGCAATCGATTCAAACTGAAAGAGAGTACATTTAGATTAAATATTAGAAAGGAATTCCTTACTGTGAGTTTGGTGATGCAGTAGAATGGGTTGCTCAGAAAAGCTGTGGATGCCTCATCCCTGCAGCCAGGTTGAGTAACCTGGTCTCATCAAAGGTGCCCCTGCTCATGGCAACAGGTGTCAAGGAACACATTTGTTGTCGAGGAACACATTTGGTGTTGAGTAACACATTTGGTGCTGAGGAACGCACTCGGTGCAGGGAGCTCAGGGTGCAGCTGCAGATGGAGCTGCAGGTTCACCTCTGGGAGGGAGCCTGAGACAAGAGGCTGTGAACTGCACAGCAAAGGGCACAGGGACCTGTGGCACAGCCAGCTGAGGGACACAGAGAGACACAGCAGGAGCTGATGGGTCAGGAGGAAGAGCAAGACTTTGGTGCTCTTGGACTGTGAGGGGATAAGAGCCCAGGGGTTCCTTAGCTCAGGGTCCCTCCTTGGAGGCACCAGCTCAGGCTGTTTCTGTGTTACTGCACTGAGGATAAATGGCTTTATGGAATGAAACATCTGAGACTCTGCTATGGAAATCCTGGGATTGAGCTGGTGAGGAAACCTGGTCTGACTGCGAGTGGTGTGCAGGGAGTCAGGCAGGGACCTGTCAGGTCACTGGAGCCACCCCTGTGAAGGGATGACAGCCCCAGCAGGGACAGTCTGTGACACTGGGAGTGTGGCTGGTGGAGAGTCTGGTGAATGGTCAACACTGGGAAATTTCCTCAACAGGGGGTTGGAACTAGATCATCTTCAAGTTCCCTTCCTATACAAACCATTGTATGATTCTATGAAATTCTCTCATTGTAGTGTATTTGAAAAGAAATTTTATCTTTAATAGAAATAATTAAAATTTGTTTATAATTATGCTGTTCCTGGATTTAAGGATAACAGTGAGAGAGAATGATTTAGACATTTTCTGTAGGCCTCTGAGGTTTGATTTTTGTGGTATAGCTGCTGGTGTAATAATCAGTAGTGTATCCCTCCACATGGTACATGGATTATCTGTATACCATGGTGACTGCGACACTGTACTAAATATGAATGTAAAAACTATTTACACATTGGATGAATAGATGTTATTTGTCATAAGATCTGATTTTTAGGGAAGACAAGTTTTATACTGTTATTTCTTCCTCTAGTTCTTACCTTGTGGAGGACATTTTCTTGTGTGTTTGATAGATGGTTTGTTCAGTAGAGTTATTCAGACATTAGAAATGATAGTGTTCAGAATTTACTATCCCTGTATTTCAAAAGAGTTTATAAGTTCACACATGACATATGATATGTTTTTATGCCTTAGGGAGGAATACATAAAACAGTATGGTATAAGAAATGAAAAGATGGAAAGGGAATGAAGAGCAGACAAATGGGTTTCAGGAAAAAATCTGATTCTGGTGTGAATATAGCTATTCCTTCTGTTTCAAATCAGCAAACTAAAAGGTGTAAAAATATAATTTTCACCAATTGAGCAAAACTAGATTTAAGCACCAGTTTAGCTGAATGACTGAGGCATCAGTTTTTGAACAGTTGCAGCTTCTGACTGTTGATTTACCAATGCAAGGTAAACCAAAATTCAGATTTCATCTGAATGAAATCAAGAATATCAACAAGACGCTTGAACCATTTAACACAGTAATTGCAGATAAGCTGATTAAATTTATGTAGCTTTAGACCATTTCTGGTTTGGATCTGTGCAGGACTGGCAGCATATTATAAGGAAAAAACCAGTTAATTGTTAATTTGGAGTTTACTTTTAAGCCATCCAAAAACCACTTGATTGGATTAGTGTTCATGTGGTTCAGGAGTGACCACCCAAGCTGTGGATGGATGAGACGCAAATGTCAGTGGCAATACAAGCTAAAGGGTTCCCACCTACCTACCCTCTCTGTCTCAAACACAGACATTTCTCAGGCTGCTGCGTTCCAGACTATGAGAATTAAACTTCTACAAGAAGTATCTTTCCTAAGTGGTATTTTTTTTTCTAATGAGAAATTATTTTTAGAGCTTTACAAGTAATCAACATCACAAAGTAATCCTAACTTTGGTCATTCTTAAAACCTAATGTTTTTTAATGCTGCACCTATTTCTGCTTCTGTCCTGCAGCCCAATTCCTATCTCCTGTGGGCCAAGAGGCCACCCAGCTCTGGGATCAATTAGGGTCTTCCCTGGAACACAGCCGTGTACCTCCAGCACAGCACAGAGAGGTCCTGGGGGAGAGGACTGTACTCCAGAGGGGGAATTTTCTAACCCCTGGTTAACACACTTCCCCTCAGCACCTGAGTGGACCCTGCCGTTGCATTGTGGCTTCCTTTTGAGTTATCTGTTTAAATTTTAAACTGCTTTCTGGAGTATTCCCCCTGGGTGTTGTAGAGAAAACTTTAATCTCATCTCTGTGCTGAGAGGCATGAAGGAGGTCCCGTGGTATTTCCTTCTGACAGGGAAATGGATGCTGCCTCACAAAACAAGTTTGAATTTTACTCCCAAAGTCTCCAGGCAGTTCTTTCACAGCTTAGCTAACAGGCACGGACAGCACTTTGAGAAAAAACAACTTAAAACAAGCAAACAGAAAATAATGAAAAAAGCTTAGTAGGCATTCAATTTTGTTGCTGGCAACAAACTTTTCAGAATCTTAATTTTAAATCTGCCTAATGATTTCAGACATTATTTCGTATTTCTAGATTGGAATGCATTCACAAAGTAATTTAAAACCTTCTCAGTGAAAATTTACTGGGATGCCCAGGCTATCATGGCTTTCAATCAATAACCTCTCCTTTAATAACATAGTATCCTGTTGCCAAGAAAAAAATAGTGGAAATGTCTTTCTGTAAATCAGTCAAAGGGGATAAGCCCAGAGAAGGAGTAGAAACTAAATTCTCCAGATCGATAGCTACTGTTGTGTATCTGTCACCTGCACTGTGTGGCAGGAAGTGTGGTTGAAACTGAAATAGTTATTGATGCATTTTCAAATTTCAAACATTCAGTTACTTGAAGATACTTAGTGAGAGTTTTTAAAGCACCTGATTACTTGTCCCGGCTCTAATGATCTTCGGAAGTCAAAATTGATCTTGCAATTTTTTTTATTTTTTTTTTCCCAGCACATATTGTATGTTATATCCACAGGTTGAATTTCCAAAGGAACTGAAGTTATTTGCACAAGGTAGCTCAGGAAAGCCATGGGTGCTGTGGTTCCTAGAGCTGCAAACAAGTGCCATGAGCACCAGTTAACTCTTCCTCTCTTCAGAGGGAAGAGCCCTGGCAGTATGGAGCAGCTGAGTGCAGGCAGTGTGTGCTGACTCAGAAACAGGGCAGAGCACGGGCAGGGAGGGTGAAAATCAGAATCCTTTGTTGTTATTGCAGTTCCTCTGCTTTAGCTACCTGGGCTGGATTCTTTCTGAGCCATATCTGTCAGTGTGCACGCCTCTAACAGCTCTTGAGTGCTAAAATATTTTAACTATTCAAAAGCCAGAGCAGGGTGGACAGGTAGGAAATAAAATTGGAAGGCGTGGAAAACCAACTGTAGGTCTTTTCTGGAGATTAAGGACCTGTTCCTCATCTAAAGTAAGCAGATAAAATTCACTGTCTTCCATGGACTTACACAATTAACAGGAACTGATGTCTCTTTCATGTTTGTTGCCTCTCCCCTCTCAAAGAGAGTGTTGGCAGAGGAAGTTAGCTAAGAAAGCTAGGAGAACACTGTTGGAGTATACTGGTTACAGAAAGGTGACCTGCAAATCAATTTGAAGAGACATGCTCAGTGCCCCCAGTAATAGCCAAGCTTTCAGCACACCTGGATCAATGCCCTCTGCTGATGGGCTGACACCACATCAGCTCTGCTGGACCATGAAGCAAGCTAATGGTTAAGTGCCTTCCGCTGAACTGAAAGTTTGGTAAAGTATTCACTTTTAAATACATTAAATATTACTAAGAAGCTTTTTGGACAGAACTGTACTTCACGGGAAATATAAATGAAATAAAATCAGAATATTATTTTACCCCCGTCTTGATGAATCTAATTTTGTGCTCTCTCATTTTTATGGTCTGCTTGAGAAGGAGAAGATGAGTAGGAATCTTAATATAATCACACAAGTGACAGTCAGGAAGTTCCCTTCTTTGGGACTTGTGTGGTGTTGGGTTGCCTTAACAGCCTTTCCAGGATCAAATTAAACTATTCAGAATGAGCCTGAGAATCCGCTGGGACAGGCACATAGAAAATGCATTTCCAACGAAGTGGAATTATGTGGAGGAAAGCAATCAGATGAACTCAGGAACATGATTTTGAAATAAAGAGGGAGGTAATACACTGTTAACTCTGGAGGCGAGAAAACTGAGAGTCATCCCATCAGTCTTTGCATATGCAGATAGCTGCAAATAAATTCTCCATGACAACATGGAAGACTCCCCTACAGGTCTGGCAAGTCTTTGCAATGACAAGGTGGTAAAACTCTGAAATAGATTAGCTGGGAAAACTGTGAATTATCCATGGTACAAAAGCCTCAAGAATAGCTTGGGAGCACATCTGTTGGGAATACCATGAGGTATATTAAGGAGAAATTACCTAGAAAGAAATTTCTTTAGGAAAAAAATATTTTACTGTGAGGGCAGTGAGGCATTGGAAAAAGTTGCCCAGAGAAGCTGTGGATGACCCATCCCTGGATGTGTTCAAAGCCAGGTTGGATTGGACTCGGAGCAACCTGGTCTGGTGGAAGGTGTTCCTGCCCATGGCAGGGGGCCTGGAATGAGGTGTTCTTTCAGGTACCTTCCAACAGAAACCATTCTGTGATTCTGTAATTGCTGCAGCCTTTGATCAGAAGGCTACACTGAATCATTTCTTGCTGTCTTATCCTCTGATTTTTTTTTTTTAATTTTTTTTTTTGTGTGATTGTGAAGGCTAAAGGAAGGTCAGAGTGAAGTGAGTGTGAAAAAGATTTGGGAAGAAGTGCATCAGAGACAAATGACAGCATTTTATAATAAATGACAAATTTGATAAAGGTACCACAGAGAAAAAAGAAAGGATGAAAGTACATATGTTAAATTATAGAAACAAGAGTTCTGAGATGTGACTCAAATTATTTTTTTTTTCTTATCTACATAGAGTCTTCATGTTTCTTTTTGCTGTTGCAAGATGAAAATGTGTTGTTTTATATATCTCTGGAAGTATGTATCTATGAGTATTATTTTTTTTAAAAGATGGAGTTCAAAATTTTCTTACAATTTTGCTGTAACTTTTCCATTATTAAAAATATTATTCGTCTTGTTACTTTAGGTAACTGTCAGAGAAATGAAATTCAATACTGAAGCATAATCAAGTGTAAGCTTGA